AATGCTGACCCCAAACTCGCAGCATTTTAGATCTATAAAGAACCAACACGAATAACCTCAGTTACTGTGAAGAGGCCCAGAAACAAGGCGATCCTCAGGGTAGCCAGCATTCTAAATTGGTGTTTCATACAGTTTCCAACAAGGATCATAAAGAGCCTGTATATTTCACTAAATCTGCACTGGTCCAATCCGTATTTATCTGTGCAATCCTCTAATCTTCCTATTTATTCTTTTGGTTTGTTTTGTGCTACTCCACATATCTTTAAGCTGGTAGTTATAAGCATCACATGGGAACTTGTTAGACATGCAAATTTCTAGGGCCTGTCCCAAACCTACTAAATCAGAAACTTAAGGGCTGGAGTTTAGCAATGTGTTTTGATAAGCCCTGAAGGTAATTCTGATGGCATGCTAAAGTCTGAGAATCATTGCTTTAGGCTAAGAAAATATCTGGATCCACTTCACCAAATATTCAAAGTATCCCCACAGATGACCATGAGAGACCATTTATTATTTAAAAAACTGACCTCTCTGATGCTTGTTAGGTGTATTGTTGCGGTTGTTATTGTTGATGATGATGACGTGTGTTTGTGTGCTTTTCAGTTCTAGGTACGTGAGATCCAATGATGTCCTGGTAAATGTTTAATAACCAGCTCTCTGGAAAAGAGAAAAAGGAAAGACCTCGTCTGTAGATTTGCTAATTTCTGTGGTGTAAATACTCCCATCATACCTGATTTCAAGCTACCAACATGACGACATGGCTGGAAACAGCTGGGAAGAGACGAACATCATCAACCTGGTGTCAGTACTGGCTCCACCCATCGCTTTTGATTCTGTACATTTAAGCATAAAGTCTGGTCATAGTTGTTATTATTAAACTTTAGGTAAGTGAATTGTGATAAACAAGAATATGGGGCCAGAATTTAATTTTGGGGGTAAGGAAAAATTTAGTGTGATTGAAGACTTTAACATCTCATAGCATTCTTCCTGGATTTTAATGACTTTCAGAAAAGTAACAATAGAAAGAAAAATTAAACATGCATTTATTTAGAATATGTTCTTTAAATAGCATTATTATATACTGCAACAAATCAGGCTATTTAAATATGGGACATTTTCAACATAGTACTTTAGGGCAATAAAACACTTTGCAAATCAATTTTATTGTTCCTCTCTGCAACCTCAAGAGGTAATAGATATGAGTTCCCTATTTTTACAGATGAAGAAAGTAAGGCACAAAGAGATCTTCAAACTTTCACATAGTGTGTTAATAGAAAAGCTGGGATTAGGACTTGAGGCCTGGAATTTCCTAGCCATAGTTTATTAGGTTATGTTTTCTGAAATGTGCATAATTTAAAATGAGGCATTGATTGGCTTTGGTCTGGAGGAGTGGCCATGCTTTCCCTTGGCACAATGTTCCAGGCTTGAGTTATATTATGATACTTGCCATGTCCCTCCTGCCAGGTTTGACCTGCCCAGAGTCCCCGCTGAGCAGGGCCTGTAGAGGGCCGTGTTTCTTACTCTATTCCTAAAACCAGGTGTCCTCAAACTACAGCCCGCGGGCCACATGTGGCCCGCCTATGACATTTATCTGGCCGGCAGGGTGTTTTTGCCGTTGCTGCTAGTCCTGCTTAGCGGCCGACTTGTCCAGGGCCCACAGTGCGCATGTGTGGAATGTGCGCCGCACTCTCCAACGGCCCTCCGACGGTCTGAGGGACAGTGAACTGGCCCCCTGTTTAAAAAATTTGAGGACCCCTGCCTAAAACCATTCGTTCCCCAAATCACAGCTGCCTGGATTAGAGGTGGACTCTAGACCAGCAGTGGCCAATCAATAGATTGGCCTGTGGCCTAAACATTACAGGGCAATTACACTCCTCTGCAGAATTTGGAACAACAAAGGATGAGAACATTCATGTGGGAGATGAAAGTTAAGTCACGACGTGAAGATATTTTGGAAAGGCCATGGTGAACCTCGGTAAACTAAAGTTATGGGAGAGCAGAAATTACAAGTAAGTAGAAGGTTTGACCTAGAGAATAGATAGAATGATTAGATAAGGAAGCAAGTAGTTAGAAGAAAATAAATCGGTGTTGAGGAACAATAAATATATACCACGAGAGACAGACCACGCAGCAGTTGTGAGAGGGGGCGAGGCAGGAGTAGCCGGTGCCTGGGGCTGCTGCGGTGACTGGCAGCGTCCCAGCCTCTGAGCATGCGCAGAAGCACAGGTTCTGCTGCACAGAACAGGCGCCCGTGTTAGCGGCGGGGCCGCTGGCGCTGTGTGGGCCTCACACAACTCGAGTCTGGAGACAGGCAGTCCAGGGCTGGCGCAGCCGACCCACAGCACCAACGACTCACGCTTCCCCAGCTTGCCTCCCCGCCACCCCTCACGCTTGCCGTCTCATGCCTCCAGTCTTACATCTATTTCCACGCCAGAAGAAGAAAACGACGAAGATGAATGTGTTTTTCATATAGATCAGCAACGCAGAGCTCCCCCAAGATCCTGCCCTTGTCTCGCTGCCTGAACTGTAAAGTGAACTCCTAGCAGCCAAAATGTTAAAAAACATAGCTCCACACCCTTTTCTGTTTTTAGCTTAGTGAATTGTTGCCCAGGACAAAATTGGGAGTCAGTTGATAAGGAAAAAGGGGAAAGTTGGGTAAGCAGCTAGCAGTGTCTGGCCCAGTGTACTCGCATCTTGACCCCACCGCTGGGTAACTTGAGTGAATCTTGATCTCAGTTAGACCCACACGGAGGTAAGAGGCGCTTGCTTGGCCCAGGGGAAGGTGCTTTGACCATCAGCCGTTGTAATTCTGTTGTCTCCCACTTTCAGCAGACACAGCTGGCCTGCCCAAAAGAGTGCTATCCTGTTTTAAAACACTCAAAATAACAAAGATTAATTGCTAATAGCAAATATGAATTTAACAAATCACGCCAAACAGGCTTCATTAAAAATTTTTAAAAATTACATTGAAAGATAGGGAAATGCTGTAGATACGGAGTGTCTTGATTTTAGCAAATCATTGAATAAACTCTCTTGACGCCATTGCAAAAAAGGAGCAATTTAATCTGATGGAGTAGAGTTACCTGGATATAAAGCTGGCTAAGTATGTTTACCAGTTATGTTGACAAATAGATTAATGTTGATCCAACAAGAAGTCTTCAGAGGAGAACCAGTGGACTCTGCCCTTGACTTTGTCCTGTGCAATATTTCTGGTGGTAGCTAGGAAGACAAGAGAGAAGTTTGCCCATCCGGAGTTGGAAGGATAGCTGTTAATGACGGCTGACAGCATAAGAACACATGAGCAGAATGGCCTTGGGTTGCAAAGGATCAATCACAGGAGCACAGCAGAGAGAGGACCTGGGTTAATAGCAGTTCGTGGGAGAAAACCAAAAGGACTACCTTCAGCCTAGGTCCACTGCAATGGCACACGGCCTACTTGTCCCTCTCCCACTCTGTCCTGCGTGGCCGATCCACAGCGCAGGTGAAACCCCGTCCTTGCTGGCCCACACTTGCACTGGCGCGGCTGCAAGTGGCTGGAGAGAAGCACAACTGCACGGGAAGACGCCGCTTTGTATTTATGACCGCATAGGCCCTCAGTGCTTGCTGCCACCGCAGAGCCGCGCAGACGCCCTGGCTGCACGGGGGCGACTCCTGGTCTTGCTCTGCGGAGTGAGTGTCTGCTCGCTCTCCGCTCTCCTCAGATCCTCAGCATCTCCTCCCCTCCCCTTCCCAGCGACACTCCCGCATCCTATTTTATGAGGAAACTGAAAACCTCCTTTCCTGTGGTTCCCTTGGCCTTGGAGAGCTGCCCGGCTGCAGCCCCTCTAGCAGGACGCCCTGTGGCCCTGGGCTTGTTCTCTGTGCAGTTGTCTCCGCTCTGCTGTCCCGTGAGTTCCCGCCCTGCCTTGGCCTCCCGAGTGCCCAACTCTGTCTCCTCAACGCGGCCACTCTGTTTGGTCCCCTGCCCGTGCTGTGCCCTGCCAGTCACAGGGAGTTTCTCAAGGATCCCTGTCCTCTGCCTCCTGTTTTCTGATGTCTGAAAACCTTTGCTTGTATTTTGTCCAGTTTTCTAGGCATGTAAGGTGGGAGGGGAATCCAGTGTCTGGTGCTTCTCCCTGCCTGGAAGCAGAGGCTTGAGCCCAGGAGTTCAAGGTTACAGTGATGCCCTGTCTCTAAAAAATACATATAAATTAAAAACATTTTAGAAAGAGAAGTCTCTGGAGGGCGAGTGGGCAGGGAAGGGTGAGAGGGATGGTGCTGGAGCAAGAGTGGAAGCTGAGAGAATCAACCCCAAGTGTGCCGCTTCACAAATCTCCAGAGCCCCAGACCTGCTCTAGGCCTCGTCCTTGGCCTGAGTGGCCTCCCGGTGAGCGGGAGGCAGCGAGCGTGGCACAGCCTGCGGTCCGTCCGGGCGTCAGTGCGACCCAGGTTCACATCCCGTCTATCCGCCACTCTCGAGAGACTCTGAACTGGACGTTCCCTTACCTGCCCAGCAGGGCCATTAACACCTGCCGGGGCTGTTTTCAGGATCACGTGCACATAGGCAAGTGTGGCTTTGCTGCTTAGAAATTTGAATTCCCTTCCCTCTTCTGGATCCAGTTAAGGGAACCCTGCAGAGCTGTGCACTCAAAGGGTGATCCGTGGACTCTTGCTAGTTTGTGAGCTGTTTGTTATCAGCTGAAGATGAGATAAGCAACTTGAGCCCAGTGTGTTTAATGACCTAATTGTCATATGTTGGTGCAAGTGCTTTATCTCATTTTAGATCAGTAACAAACATCCCATGGACAAGTGCTTTGAGTAGCACTGTAACTAGAGATACTATAGTAAAGATTAAGGATACAGCAATTGGATCCCGGAGCTATGGCTGCCGAGGTTCAAATCCTCACTCCACTGGTTAGTTACTCTGGGCATGTTACCTCCCTGCGCCTCAGTCATATTGATACTGAGGACATATTGATACTATCTCTGAGTTAGTATGTATGAAACCTTTAAAATAGAGCCTGGTACAAAGTAAGAACCACAAAGATTTTGCAGCCAGGCATTGTGGTTCACTCCTGTAACCCCAGCACTTTGGGAGGCTGAGGCAGGAGAATGGCTTGAGGCCAGAAGTTTGAGATCAGCCTGAACAACATGGTGAAACCCCATCTCTACAAAAAGAAAACAGATTTTGCTTTAATTATTATTATTGGAAATGCTTTAAAGGTTTTGGTCTTATAGGGACTGGGGCAATTTGTTCTATTATAGATTACCCGTTTGCAGGTCTTTTTCCTTCCTTCCTCCCCAGCCCCACACCCCTCTCTTTCTCCTATTAAAGTAGATGATACCATGATCTTTTCTGCTATTCTGCTAGCAGTAAAGTTATAGTGAGCCCTTGGTGAATTCACTCATCAGTGTTAATATTTTGGAAGCTTGGCTTGTAGTGGGTTGTACTGAAAGTATCAGTACCAGGCCTGGGCATGAAGATCTCCACATCAGTTTTTCTGTGGTTTCCCCGAGGGCAGCAGCTTTGCCCACCGTCCTCGTCCCCGCTGGTGAGGACACGGACGGCAATCTCTGTCCTGCTGATCTTGACCCCGCCTCTCCCGACCCACATAACAACCACCAGGGACAGTCTTTTGTGACTTGGTTCCAAGAATAATTAACACATTGCCACATTTGTAAAATGGTAACATAGAAACAAAAAGTTAAACATTTTTGTTAAGAAGTAGGTAATACAAGAACAGGTTTAATCCTGCAGGGTTTCAGGGCAATCAGAGCCCATAGACGTTTGTGTCTGTGTACATTTCTGCTGGATATTTCAACTGATAATTCCATATTCCACATTCACAGTCAGCTTTGACTAATGTCCTGTTTTGCCCAGTTAGTTTCTTATACAATCTGTTTTTATATATTGTCCTCTTGGGGATAACACTTCAACTACTTACTTACTTGGTTTTGTTCGTTTTTTCTGTATGTATGCCATTTGGATAACATTGTCCTAAATTTTAATTCTTTGTTTTCACTGAGCAAAAAATGGAAGCATCAGCATTATACTATGTGGGAGAATTATTTGTTGAATAAGAGAAAGTATTTGCCAAATGTCCCCTTTGTACATGCATCTTTTTTTCTTTCTCTCTCTCTTTTTTTTTAATAGAGACGGGGTCTCACTTTTGCTCAGGCTGGTCTCAAACTCTTGAGCTCAAGTGATCCTCCTGCCTTGGTCTTCCAGAGTGCTGGGATTACAGGCTTGAGCCGCTCTTTTTTGTTTCATATAAGACAAGGACTTAAATCTGAGGAGTTCCCAAAGTATGCATATTCTTATCATGATATCACTAGCGTTGATAATGGACATCATCAAGCCATCTTAAATATCTTTTTGCATATTTTTAGAGAAGATGCAGTTGTTGATGTGCCAGCCATCGCTCACTTTATTTTCCCTACATCTGATCTGTAGTAGAATACCTACTTCACAAAGTGGGCACTTTATCCTATTAATGAGTATGCATTGTAGGGTCATGCCCAATCTTCCTCACATTGAAAACTTACTGATCTTATAGGGCTAATTTTCAAGTTTTAGAAGTTGACAAAAGTTATTGGAATAGAGTTCACTGGTTTTTGAAATAGGCTCTCCCAGCTTCTCATCAATCTTAGCTTTTAAGATGCTATAAGCATGATCAATAAGCAACTAAATTTTGAGGGTCTGCTTATTGAACTCTAAAATCACATATTTTTTGATTCCTGGTAATAGTCCCAAATTAACATAACCTAGTGTGCCCGAGAAGCAAAAGAAGACAATTTTAATGATAAAGGAGAGTGTTAGGAAAACATCTCAATTTCTATTTATGGGTCTCTGAAAAGATTCAGGTACAGCCAAGGAAAATACAAATAATCCTTTTTATTTTATGTTATTTTTTGCTTTTTTTCCCCTTCAACGATCAAGAGCAGGTACAAACAGTCCTTTTTAATAAACTATGTTTTTTCTGTGTGTGAAATGAAGATACTGAAAAAGTTAATTGAAAAGTGCTTTGCGTCTTCCTCACTTAAGAGGTCTCCTAAAGATACCTAAGAGGTATGTATCATCCAGATGGAGCACTAAGATAACTGAGACACCACAGTAAAGAAACTACTGGCTGTGTTCCCAGAGGTGTGGCTTTCTACCACATCACACCTAGCAGGGCAGTTGTTGAAACCTTGGTTCCTTTCTCTCCTACATGCCTCCC